ATAGGAAATAAATACTTATCAGCTCCATCTAGTGGCCACAATGTGGTATGTTCCTGATTCACTCTATGCGTATTGACAGTTCCACTTTAACTCGCGTACATATCCCTTTATCACTATAAGTGGATGGAAATATTGTCTCTCCCCCCCCCCCCCATTGTGGAAGTTTTTTTATATATAAACATGGGGAAGTGCGTTCCTCTGCAGGGTGGAAGGGATAGGATTACAAGAAAGTAAAAAAAACGGGCAGCTGTTTCCTGGGGTGAGATATTCTGGTGTCGTCTGGTTGTGTAATACCGGCAGCACCGTACAGGGCTCAGCTTATCTCTCCACAACAGCGCTGAACCATGACCACATCTTCTACCGAGGCCAGAAATATCTCCGGAGGAACTTTACAACAGTTTGAATAGCGATGATGAAATGCGCGATCGTAAAAATGTTGGCCGTCCCACCAGAGTCGCTGTGGAGGTATTTTAATCTTAGCAGCTTTGTCGCGTTTCTGGAACAGGTACAAACGAGGCGCTGGATGGAGGCCAGCAGCAGGTCAAACGGATTATGAGACCTCTAGATCTGAGGAGGCTTCTCTCAGCAAAAATGGGGTGTCTAACCCAAAGGAGACCAGGAACTGAAGATTTTTGGACAGCTTTGTGAGAACCGCCTGGTTCTACGAACGAACTTCAATTGAAAGTGTGGGAAATTGTCAAAAACAAGGCGCCAGATCCAGTTCATCAGTAGATCAGATGGATTACGAAACCTCTAGTTCTGGTGAGGTTTCTTTCAGCAAAAATGGAGTGTCCACCAAAAATGGGACCTGGAATTGAAGGTGGTAGAAGGCCCCATGGGCACCACCTGGCTCTACAAACTTCAAGGAGCCGTGGGGAAACAAACGAGGTGCTGGATGGAGGCCAGCAGTAGGTCAAATGGATTACGAGACCTCTAGATCTGAGGAGGCTTCTCTCAGCAAAAATGGGGTGTCTAACCCAAAGGAGACCAGGAACTGAAGATTTTGGACAGCTTTGTGAGAACCGCCTGGACGAACTTCAATTGAAAGTGTGGGAAATTGTCAAAAACAAGGCGCCAGATCCAGTTCATCAGTAGATCAGATGATTACGAAACCTCTAGTTCTGGTGAGGTTTTTCAGCAAAAATGGAGTGTCCACCAAAAATGGGACCTGGAATTGAAGGTGGTAGAAGGTCCCATGGGCACCACCTGGCTCTACAAACTTCAAGGAGCCGTGGGGAAACAAACGAGGTGCTGGATGGAGGCCAGCAGTAGGTCAAATGGATTACGAGACCTCTAGATCTGAGGAGGCTTTCTCTCAGCAAAAATGGGGTGTCTAACCCAAAGGAGAGCAGGAACTGAAGATTTTGGACAGCTTTGTGAGAACCGCCTGGTTTCAACGAACTTCAATTGAAAGTGTGGGAAATTGTCAAAAACAAGGCGCCAGATCCAGTTCATCAGTAGATCAGATGGATTACGAAACCTCTAGTTCTGGTGAGGTTTCTTTCAGCAAAAATGGAGTGTCCACCAAAAATGGGACCTGGAATTGAAGGTGGTAGAAGGTCCCATGGGCACCACCTGGCTCTACAAACTTCAAGGAGCCGTGGGGAAACAAACGAGGTGCTGGATGGAGGCCAGCAGTAGGTCAAATGGATTACGAGACCTCTAGATCTGAGGAGGCTTCTCTCAGCAAAAATGGGGTGTCCAACCCAAAGGAGACCAGGAACTGAAGATTTTGGATGGCTTTGTGAGAACCGCCTGGCTCTACGAACTTCAATTGAGAAACCAAAGGAGGCGGGTGGAAAATTGTCAGACAAAAGTGACTGCAACCAATCAATATACTGTCGGTCAATTGACATTGACCAGATATGGTTATGTTATGGTCAGATATGGTCATGTGCTCAGTCCCATTCGAACTGTGGCTCAACAAACTTCAATTGAAAGTGTGGAAAATTGTCAAAAACAAGTTCATCAGTAGATCAGATGGATTACAAAACCTCTAGTTCTGGTGAGGTTTCTTTCAGCAAAAATGGGGTGTCCACCAAAAAGAAGACCTGAACTTGAAGGTGGTGGAAGACCCCGTGGGCACCACCTGGCTCTACAAACTTCAAGTGAAAAATTGAAGGAGTCATGTGGAAAATTGTCGGATAAAAGTGACTGCAACCAATCAATATAGGTCAAATGACATTGACCAGACATGGTCATGTTATGGTCAAATATGGTCATGTGCTCAGTCCTGTAGGCAAATGGCCATATTAGGTGATTGATGTCACAAGCATCCCCACCCCTTTGTGTACATGGAGTTTGTGGTGGATTCCCCATCTGCAGCTGATTGGCCCAGCAATAACAGCCAACAAACTTCAATTGAAAGTGTGAAAAACTGTCAAAAACAAGGCGCCGCATACAGTTCATCAGTAGATCAGATGGATTACGAAACCTCTAGTTCTGGTGAGGTTTCTTTCAGCAAAAATGGGGTGTCCATCAAAAAGGAGGCCAGAAATTGAAGGTGGTGTTAGACCCCATGGGCACCACCTGGCTCTACAAACTTCAAGTGGAAAAATTGAAGGAGCCGTGTGGAAAATTGTTGGATAAAAGTGACTGCAACCAATCAATATAGGTCAAATGACATTGACCCGAGTATGGTCGTGTTATGGTCAAATATGGTCATGTAGTCATGTGCTCAGTCCTATAGGGACATGGCCATATTAGGTGATTGATGTCACAAGCATCTCCACCCATTCGTGTACATGGAGTTTTTGGTGGATTCTCCAATCTGCAGCTGATTGGCCCAGCAATGACAGCCAACTTTACATTTCAGACCAAACTCCAGCTTATCCCTAACCAGGACAGTATCCATAAGTGGCTCCAAGATCTCCTATTGTTAAGGTCCAATATTGCACATGACCATCTTATTAGTCGGGCTGCACCACTTCAGGCGAAGCTACTTATTAAAACAAGGAACCCTTCCAAAAAAAGAGGAGGTGCTTAGGGAAACCCGAGGTATAGACGTAAGAGTCCCACACCAGTGGAGATAGAGCTGTCCACATTTGATGAGAATGCCAAATGAAAGGTCTAAGACTAACCATACAAAGCTCGTAGTTCACCTGATTCCTGTTGAATCTGTCAAAATTCAAACTTCAATTGAAAGTGTGGAAAACTGTCAAAAACAAGGCGCCGGATACAGCTGATCGGTAGATCAGATGGATTAAGAAACCTCAAGTTCTAATGAGGTTTCTTTCAGCAAAAATGGGGTGTCCACCAAAAGGAAGACCTGGACTTGAAGATGGGGGAAGACCCCGTGGGCACCACCTGGCTCTACAAACTTCAAGTGAAAAATTGAAGGAGTCATGTGGAAAATTGTCGGATAAAAGTGACTGCAACCAATCAATATAGGTCAAATGACATTGACCAGATATGGTCATGTTATGGTCAAATATGGTCATGTGCTCAGTCCTATAGGGACATGACCATATTAGGTGATTGATGTCACAAGCATCCCCACCCCTTTGTGTACATGGAGTTTGTGGTGGATTCTCCCATCTGTAGCTGGTTGGCCCAGCAATAACAGCCAACTTTACATTTCAGACCAAACTCCAGCTTATCCCTAACCAGGACAGCATCCATACGTGGCTCCAAGATCTCCTATTGTTAAGGTCCAACATTGCACATGACCATCTTATTAGTCGGGCTGGACCACTTGAGGGGAAGCTGCTTAAAAGAAACCCTCCAAAAAAAGAGGAGGTACTTACTGAAATCCGGGGGATATATGTAAGAGTCCCACAACAGTGGAGATAGAGCTGTCCACATTTAATGGGAATGCCAAATGCAATGTCTAAGACTAACCATACAAAGCTCGTAGTTCAGCCAATTCCTGTTGAATTTGTCGAAATTTGAACTGTGGCTCAACAAATTTCAATTGAAAATGTGGAAAACTGTCAAAAACAAGGCGCCGGATATAGTTCATCAGTAGATCAGATGGATTACGAAAACTCTAGTTCTGGTGAGGTTTCTTTCAGCAAAAATGGGATGTCCACCAAAAAGGAGCCCTGGAATTGAAGGTGGTGGAAGACCCCGTGGGCACCACCTGGCTCTACAAACCTCAAGTGAAAAATTGAAGGAGCCGTGTGGAAAATTGTAAAACGTGACTGCAACCAATCAATACAGGTCAAATGACATTGACCTAATACGGCCACGTGGTCAGTCCAATGTAACATAGGCACGTGGCCACATTGCTCATTCGGTGACCAACAAAGCGGTTTGTCTATATCTGCAAATGATCAACAAGTAGAACTAAGGGTATAAGCCACATGTGTCCAACACAAGGCCCAAGGGCCGACTCTTTCCTTGGTGTCACTCGTCCCTGTTTCCTGCCTCCAGGTCACTTCATCAGAGAGCCGGGAGACAATGGAGTCCTTTGTTCTCTAATAATAGAGCATTAACCAGATCACTAATCATTCCTCTACCTGTGTCTGTATGAGAGGTGTCACTGTATGAGAGGTGTCACTGGATATCCATGATCTGCTCTCACACAAACCTCAACCCATCGAACGGCGGCGTTACGCAATCTCTGACACATCGAAGGTGACATGTCTCAGCACGAGAGGCTTAATGAACATTCAAAGCTCACACACCGTGCATCCGCCCCGAGGGAATCAACTCGCCCTGAAAGCAGTAATCCCTCATCTCTGGATCACCCCGCACCTCCGATTGTATTGTTCACATATTTAGGTGAAATGGTGTTTTTACATTCGTGTTTCTTGTTTGGTGACACAGAAATTATTTTTAGAAAAAACATAATAAAACCTCAAATAAAGGAAACGATCATATTTTATTTCCCTTGTAAAAAGTTCCAACAGTTTTTTTTTTTTTTTGTAAATGTTAGATAAGGAATTTTAGTGACACCAGCCAAGAGACTTTCATGAATGGACACCTGCCAGAAATTATACGAAGTTCTTTTTATTATATTATTTATTCAGGATTTATATATACATCCTATGTCCATGGAGGGGATTGGAACATTTGAATCACATGATTGGGAGGGGATTGGAACATCTGAATCACATGATTGGGAGGGGATTGGAACATCTGAATCACATGATATGGAGGGGATTGGAACACCTGAATCACATGATATGGAGGGGATTGGAACACCTGAATCACATGATTGGGAGGGGGATTGGAACACCTGAATCACATGATGTGGAGGGGATTGGAACACCTGAATCACATGATTGGGAGGGGATTGGAACACCGAATCACATGATTGGGGGGGATTGGAACACCTGAATCACATGATATGGAGGGGATTGGAACACCTGAATCACATGATTGGGAGGGGATTGGAACACCTGAATCACATGATATGGAGGGATTGGAACACCTGAATCACATGATTGGGAGGGGATTGGAACACCTGAATCACATGATTTGGGGGGGATTGGAACACCTGAATCACATGATTGGGAGGGGATTGGAACATCTGAATCACATGATTTGGGGGGGGGGACAATACTTTTGGCAATATAGTGTATGTACTGATATACATCATCTCTTAGATTGTAAGCTCCCAGGATCAGGGCCCTCCTGGAACCCTCTTGTAGTGAACTGTATTGTTGCTGTATTGTCTCCCGTTATATTGTACAGCGCTGAATCACACTGTTGGCGCCATAAATCCTGTATAATAATAATAATAATATATAAATCCTGTATTATAATAATAATAATATATAAATCCTGTATTATAATGATTAATATATAAATCCTGTATTATATAATAATAATAATATGGCGCCAACAGTGTGCTCACACCTGTACAATATAACGGGAGACAATACAGCAACAATACAGATCACCAATTATAGAGACACCAGTCAGTGGTACTCGCTGGGCATCTTATACAGCCAGTATTAGGGGATATGTTGGGCTGTTAGTCCATTCAGTGGTGCATTTAGGTGCAAAACAAAAATAGATACCCCCCCCCCCTCAAGGAGAGACCCTGACACCAACCAACACCACCCCCCTCTCCCCAAAAAGTATTGTCTGTATTGACCAATATACCCAGTTATATTGTAAAGAGCCTTCCACTACCATTGGCCCCCATACACTGGCGACCCCCCCACCCCATGAGAGAGAAGCACTCATCTTCAACAGCTCCGGACCATGCTGCCCAGGCACAAGAGTCGGGCTCTGCATACACCAACAAGCAGCCCACAGCCTCCTCATCCCACCTGGTCCTCATGCTGTGTGTGTCTCTTCTGCCATCCTTTCTTTTGGGGGGCGGCGCTGTGAAAAATGCCACTGCCCCCCTGAAATGATGCCGCTGCCCCCTGGGATCTAGGCTGCTGTCCCCTTAACTTCCCTCCCCTTTGCTCTTGAAAAATGCTGCTGTGCCCCCCCTGAAAAATGCCATGCACAATGAAAGATGCCCCCACACTTGGGGGTTTCTGTCCTTTTAGGAAAAATGTCATCCCCTTGAAAATGCAGTGCCCCCTGAAAAATGCCCTGCCCCTTTCCTTCCAGTGGCCTCCATTCCTAGAAGGGTGCCGCTGTCATGGTGAAAGCTCTGACATTCACCTGTCAGGGGCAGAAAATGCGCTGCTCAGCCTGAATCTGCAGCTGCCCCTGTGGGAAAAAATGCCGCTGGGGGGGGTGAGGGGAAAGATGACACCATGTTCCCTGCACCAACCCTAGAGACACCAGTCAGTGGTACTCGCTGGCCCCCATTACATAGCCAGTATTAGAAAGATATGTTGGGCTGTTAGTCCATTCAGTGGTGCATTTAGGTTTACACAAAAATAGACCCCCCCCCCCTGAAGGAGAGACCCTGACACCGACCAACACCCCCCTCCCCCACAAAGAGAGTTCTGAAATTGACCAATAACACCCAGCCCCACCCGAAGAGAGCCTTCCACTACCCACTCCCCATACACTGGGCCCCCCCCCCCCCCACCCCAGCGAGAGAGAAGACACTCATCTTCAAAGCTCCAGACACCCCCGAGGAACAAGAGTCGGGCTCTGCATACACCATCAAGCAGCCCGCAGCCTCTCTCAGATCCCACCTGGTCCTCATGCTGTGGTGTCTCTTCACCCCATCCTTTCTTTTGGGGGGCAGGAAGCTGTCCCCTGAATGCCATGAATGCTGCCCCCTGAAAAATGCCACTGCCCACCCCCCTGAAAGATGCCTCTGGAACCCCCTGAAAAAAATGCTGCTGCCCCTCTGAAAAAAAATGCTGCTGCCCCCCTGAAAAATGCCACTGCCACAATGAAAGATGCCGCTGCCCCCTGAAAAATGCCGCTGCTCCCCTGAAAGATGCCGCTGCCCCCCTGAAAAATGTCGCGCTGCCCCCCCTGAAAAATGTCGCTGCCCCCCCCCTGAAAGATGCGGGTGACCCCCCCTGAAAAATGCCGCTGCCCCCCTGAAAGATGCCAGCTGCTACCCCTGAAAAATGCCGCTGCCCCCCTGATAGATGCTGCTACCCCCCTGAAAGATGCCACTGCTACCCCCTGAAAGATGCCTCTGCCCCCTGAAAAATGCTGCTGCCCCCCTGAAAGATGCCGCTGCCCCCTGAAAAATGCTGCTGCCCCCCTGAAAGATGCTGCTGCCCCCCCTGAAAAATGCTGCTGCCCCCCCTCAAAAAATGCCACAATGAAAGATGCCGCTGCCCCCCCTGAAAAATGCCGCTGCCCCCTGAAAGATGCAGTTGCCCCCCTGAAAGATGTCGCTGCCCCCCCCTGAAAAATGCCGCTGCCCCCCTGAAAGATGCCAGTGCCCCCCTGAAAAATGCCGCTGTCCCCAGAAAAATGTCGCTGCCCCCCTGAAAGATGCCGCTGCTCCCCTGAAAGATCCGCTGCCCCCCTGAAAAATGCCACTGCCCCCCTGAAAGATGCAGCTGCCCCCCCTGAAAAATGCTGCTGTCCCCTGAAAAATGCCGCTGCCCCCGGATAGATGCCGCTGCCCCCCTGAAAGATGCCGCTGCTCCCCTGAAAGATGCCGCTGCCCCCCTGAAAAATGCCACTGCCCCCCTGAAAGATGCAGCTGCCCCCCTGAAAAATGCTGCTGTCCCCTGAAAAATGCCGCTGCCCCCGGATAGATGCCGCTGCCCCCCTGAAAGATGCCGCTGCTCCCCTGAAAGATGCCACTGCCCCCCTGAAAAATGTCGCTGCCCCCCTGAAAAATGTCGCTGCCCCCCTGAAAGATGCCGCCCTAGGCAAATGCCTTGTTTGCCTTGCGGTAGATATGCCCCCCAGTCAATCCCTTTCAGACAATGACCAGAATGGGACCCACAGTGACACCTGCTGGCTATTAGAGCTCTCTGCACCCCATTCAGACCTGAGGTCTGGCAGAGGGAAGTCGACCCTAAGATGCCATTGAATGCCAAGAAGCTAGTAAACGGTGTTTAACATAAGACCGCCCACCTTTCACCATGCCCTCCAATCACTGTGGAACATTTTGCATTGTACACTTGGCTGCTGTGAAAAATGAAAAGACAGGTAGGTTGTGTTTGGCCCCACCATGCCAAGGGCCCCTTCTATGGTCCGTGTCTCCCTGCCATATGAGGTCACCTGTGATGGTTCAGGAACAGTCGGCCCTACAATGTATCGCAGAGCCACTCCTAGAATCACTCCACATCAGCAGCTGTACGCTGAAAAACGTATTCTGTAAACTGACCACTAGATGGCGGCGCTGTCCTTTATTACTTTGCACAGCGAAATATAACAAAGGTGTCATGGTGGTCGCTGCGACACGCCTTGCGATTCCCACCTTTGGGGCTCATTCACATGGGCGTCAGGGTCAGCTACGCCTCTGAAAAGTGATCCGCCCTTGGATCGCTTTGTAGAGGAATTTGCGGGCTGTTGTATTACTTCCTCGCAGCCTGCTTTACCCTCTTTGACCCCGCACTGGTACACCACAATGAGGGCCGTGGATAAGGGTGTACCACCAGTCAGGGGCGGACTGACAACTCATGGGGCCCCCGGGCAATAGGGGGATCATGGGGCCCCTGTGTCCTTGCCCAAATTCAAAAAAGCCTATGAAAAAAGTACCAGGGACATCTCATGGGGCCCCGTACTGACCCCGGGCCCTCGGGCAGTGCCCGAGTTTCCAAATGGTCAGTCCGCCCCTGCCACCAGTCTTACTGTACGGGGCCCAGGCCAGCAGGGGGGCCAGGCAGCTATGTGAATCGGATGAGGGCAGAGAGGGATCAGCACAGTGTAGGGGGCAGTTACTGGAACCGATCCCCTGTATGGATCTCTCTGCAGCAGCTGAAAGCCAGTCTCTTCTCCTCTCCCTCCCGCCGGCTTTCAGGTGCTGTAGAGAGATCCATACAGGGGATCAGTTCCAATAATTGCCCCCTTCCTTTTCTGAATGAACACAATGAGTGATCAGTACTGATCACTCACTGTGTTCATTCATAACTGAAGCATAGTAAACTGTGTTTTTTTATGGGGGGCGGGTTGGGCTCCTGTCAGGTTTTCTGTATGTGGCTTCTGTCAGCAGTCCTGACCACAATCGCATCCATTACACATGGCTGTGGGGTGCTTGCAGAGGGGGTCCCCTTCATTTGAGCTGGTCGCAATAAGCGGCTGGTAACGCCCTTCGAAAGTGACGGGGGAATCATTCCTGCCAAGGCAAGGAAAACGTGGCGACCGCGGCATGTGTGCCCCCGGCCGTTGCCTATACAACTAAAGGGGGAGTGGTAAAACCATGGCTCAACTGTGGGATTGGAACTGACCCCCCAACTGCTAGTGTGAATGAACCCTTGGAGCTCCTCAGACTGGTCAGTTATTGTGTATTGTGTATAAATTCACATCACCGTGTACAGCGCAGCGCTGGGCCTCTTCCTATTCATGTACCTGCAACAAAAATATATACAATTGTAAAACAATAATACAGAATAAAATAACAGACTACTGAAAGCTACTGACACCAACCTCTGCCCTACTGACACCAACCTCTGCCCTACTGACACCAACCTCTGCCCTACTGACACCAACCTCTGCCCTACTGACACCGTCCACTGCCCTACTGACACCGTCCACTACCCTACTGACACCGTCCACTGCACTATTGACACCGTCCACTGCCCTACTGACACCGTCCACTGCTCTACTGACACCGTCCACTGCCCTACTGATACCACCCACTGCCCTACTGACACCATCCACTGCCCTACTGATACCATCCACTGCCCTACTGACACCATCCACTGCCCTACTGATACCATCCACTGCCCTACTGACACCATCCACTGCCCTACTGACACCGTCCACTGCTCTACTGACACCATCCACTGCCCTACTGACACCATCCACTGCCCTACTGATACCATCCACTGCCCTACTGACACCATCCTCTGCCCTACTGACACTGTCCCCCTGCCCTACTGAAACCAACCATTGCTGTACTTACCTGGTCCTCTGCCCTACTGACACCACCCACTGCCCTACTGACACAATCCACTGCCCTACT